ACCAAGTAAATAGATGTCTATCTTGAGCCAATACCAAGTAAACAGATGTATATCTTTAGCCAGTACTAGGTAAATAGATGTATATCTTGAGCAAAAACTAAGTAAAAAGATTTATATCTTGAGCCATTACCAAGTAAATAGAAGTATATCTTGAGCCAGTACCAAGTAAATAGATGTATATCTTGAGCCAATACCAAGTAAACAGATGTATATCTTTAGCCAGTACCAGGTAAATAGATGTATATCTTGAGCAAAAACTAAGTAAAAAGATTTATATCTTGAGCCATTACCAAGTAAATAGAAGTATATATTGAGCCAGTACCAAGTAAATAGATGTATATCTTGAGCCAATACCAAGTAAACAGATGTATATCTTTAGCCAGTACCAAGTAAATAGATCTATATCTTGAGCCAGTATCACGTAATTAGATGTATATGTTGAGCCAGTACCAAGTAAATAGATGTATATCTTGAGCCAGTACCAATTAAATAGATGTATATCTTGAGCCAGTACCAAGTAAATAGATGTATATATTGAGCCAGTACCAAGTAAATAGATGTAAATATTGAGCCAGTACCAAGTAAATAGATGTATATCTTGAGCCAGTACCAAGTAAATAGATGTAAATATTGAGCCAGTACCAAGTAAATAGATGTATATCTTGAGCCAGTACCAAGTAAATAGATCTATATCTTGTGCCAGTAGCAAGTAAATAGATGTATATATTGAGCCAGTACCAAGTAAATGGATGTATATCTTGAGCCAGTACCAAGTAAATAGATGTATATCTTGAGCCATTACCAAGTAAATAGATGTATATCTTGTGCCAGTAGCAAGTAATTAGATGTATATATTGAGCCAGTACCAAGTAAATTGATGTATATCTTGAGCCAGTACCAAGTAAATAAATTTATATCTTGAGCCAATACCAAGTAAATAGATGTATATCTTGAGCCAGTACCAAGTAAATAGATGTAAATATTGAGCCAGTACCAAGTAAATAGATGTATATCTTGAGCCAGTACCTAGTAAATAGATGTATAAATTGACCAAGTACCAAGTAAATAGATGTATATCTTGAGCCAGTACCAAGTAAATAGATGTATATCTTGAGCCAGTACCAAATAAATAGATGTATATCTTGAGCCATTACCAAGTAAATAGATGTATATATTGATCCAGTACCAAGTAAATAGATCTATATCTTGAGCCAGTATCACGTAATTAGATGTAAATGAAGAGCCAGTACCAAGTAAACAGATGTATATCTTGAGCCATTACCAAGTAAATAGATGTATATATTGATCCAGTACCGAGTAAATAGATGTATATCTTGAGCCAGTACCAAGTAAATAGATGTATATCTTGAGCCATTACCAAGTAAATAGATGTATATATTGATCCAGTACCAAGTAAATAGATGTTTATCTTGAGCCAGTACCAAGTAAATAGATCTATATCTTGAGCCAGTACCAAGTAAATAGATCTATATCTTGAGCCAGTACCAAGTAAATCGATGTATATCTTGAGCCAGTACCAAGTAATCAGATGGATATCTTGAGCCAGTACCAAGTAAATAGATGTATATATTTAACCAGTACCAAGTAAATAGATGTATATCTTTAGCCAGTACCAAGTAAATAGATGTAGAAATTGAGCCAGTACCATGTAAATAGATGTATATCTTGAGCCAGTACCATGTAAATAGATGTATAAATTGAGCCAGTACCAAGTAAATAGATGTATATCTTGAGCCATTACCAAGTAAATAGATGTATATCTTGAGCCAGTACCAAGTAAACAGATGTAAATATTGAGCCAGTACCAAGTAAATAGATGTATATCTTGAGCCAGTACCAAGTAAATAGATCTATATCTTGAGCCAGTACCAAGTAAATAGATGTATATCTTGAGCCAGTACCAAGTAAATAGATGTATATCTTGAGCCATTACCAAGTAAATAGATGTATATCTTGAGCCAGTACCAAGTAAACAGATGTATATCTTGAGCCAGTACCAAGTAAATAGATGTATAAATTGAGCAAGTACTAGGTAAATAGATGTATATCTTGAGCCAGTACCAAGTAAATAGATTTATATCTTGAGCCAATACCACGTAAATAGATGTATATCTTGAGCCATTACCAAGTAAATAGATGTATATATTGATCCAGTACCAAGTAAATAGATGTATATATTAATCCAGTACCAAGTAAATAGATCTATATCTTGAGCCAGTATCACGTAATTAGATGTAAATGAAGAGCCAGTACCAAGTAAACAGATGTATATCTTGAGCCATTACCAAGTAAATAGATGTATATATTGATCCAGTACCGAGTAAATAGATGTATATCTTGAGCCAGTACCAAGTAAATAGATGTATATCTTGAGCCATTACCAAGTAAATAGATGTATATATTGATCCAGTACCGAGTAAATATATGTATATCTTTAGCCAGTACCAAGTAAATAGATCTATATCTTGAGCCAGTATCACGTAATTAGATGTAAATGTTGAGCCAGTACCAAGTAAATAGATGTTTATCTTGAGCCAGTACCAAGTAAATAGATCTATATCTTGAGCCAGTACCAAGTAAATAGATCTATATCTTGAGCCAGTACCAAGTAAATAGATGTATATCTTCAGCCAGTACCAAGTAAATAGATGTATATATTGAGCCAGTACCAAGTAAAAAGATGTATATATTGAGCCAGTACCAAGTAAATAGATGTATATCTTGAGCCAGTACCAAGTAATTAGATGTATATATTGAGCCAGTACCAAGTAAATATATGTATATCTTTAGCCAGTACCAAGTAAATAGATCTATATCTTAAGCCAGTATCAAGTAAATAGATGTAGAAATTGAGCCAGTACCAAGTAAATAGATGTATATCTTGAGCCAGTACCAAGTAAACAGATGTATATCTTGAGCCAGTATCAAGTAAGTAGATGTATATCTTGAGCCAGTGCACAGTAAACAGATGTATATCTTGAGCCAGTACCAGGTAAATAGATGTATATCTTGACCCAGTAGGAAGTAAAAAGATTTATATCTTGAGCCATTACCAAGTAAATAGAAGTATATATTGAGCCAGTACCAAGTAAATAGATGTCTATCTTGAGCCAATACCAAGTAAACAGATGTATATCTTTAGCCAGTACCAGGTAAATAGATGTATATCTTGAGCAAAAACTAAGTAAAAAGATTTATATCTTGAGCCATTACCAAGTAAATAGAAGTATATATTGAGCCAGTACCAAGTAAATAGATGTATATATTGATCCAGTACCAAGTAAATATATGTATATCTTTAGCCAGTACCAAGTAAATAGATCTATATCTTGAGCCAGTACCAAGTAAATAGATCTATATCTTGAGCCAGTACCAAGTAAATATATCAATATCTCAAGACAGTACCAAGTCAATAGATGTATATCTTGAGCCAGTACCAAGTAATTTGATCTAAATCTCGAGCCACCAGACCTGGACATGGAAGCATAGCTTTACGCACCCCATTCCACAACCCTAACCCTAACACTTCCAAGATCAACACTTTCATCTTCTGTCAAAAAGCATCAGGCTTCTCCTGGATCTATTTGCATTGTTATATCACTGGTTCTATTGTACGTTTGTTTATCCAATGTTGGGATATGGGGCAATGGATTGTGGATGCGATTTCAATTCGTCTTTGTTAGCAACGCAACGATCTACACTTCTTTTCTTGAAATAGTGCAGTGCGGTGCCAATGCTTTCTTGAACGTGATGCCGTAAATTAAAGATAACGTCAGAATCAGACGACCTGAATTTTAGCCAGCATTGATTTATTTGATGCCTTTTTGGATTTCTAAAGGAATGCCGATTATTATCATTTGATTTATTTCGATATTTGTAGTCTGTAGTGATATTGGTGTAGCGATCTAAATATTAAGTTCAAATGATACATCCTAAGGAGACAAAGAAGCAATGAAAGGAATTGCGAAAGGAAATGTCCCGAATATTCTTACAAAATGCAGATCTAAGACCGCGTAAAACTTCCGCCAACTAACTGTAGCGTTAGACCAAATGAAAGACAGTGTGACATATCTAAAGTACAAGCAGACGTAAGGATAAATAGTGCATTTCAGATCTAGATCTAGTTATCGTCTTTATTTGAAATCTTCGCCTGTGAGATCGCACCTTACGATATTGCATACTCTACTCTCCATTGTAATCTTTTTTTTTAGTTTTTTTTTATCGATACCGCATTAAAATTTTTAAATTCGATTATGGCAGTGCAATTCCTGTTCATATAATTATAACTTTGACTCTGAAAAAAAAATTTACAGCTTGCACATTAGTCCATTAATCCAGAATACGTTTGCCCAGTTAGTCAAAGTCTATATATCTTGAGTTATTGATCTTAGAGCTCCTAATAAACTGGACAATAAACGAGTTCTTCTCTGGTTTAATAGGCGCTTTGGGGAATCATAATAAGTACTTCAGCGTGCAAGTCATTTGGAAGGCTAATATTACCTTCTATGAGTATAGATAACCAAATTATGATGGACACCAGTAAATTAATATTGTTACTTTCTGATGGTCTAATTAAACGACTTGCCAGCTCATTTGCTGACCAATAAGAAATACGTAAGTTACGACTTTATTCGTTGTACTAAAGAGTTCAATGTAAGATGCTTTGAAGTCTAGGCATATAGAAGCCTGCCTACATCTGATTGTCTGAAAAACATCGGTATAGGAAAGCTCCAAGTAGATGTAACTATCTATGATTTGTATATGCACAGTTCGTCTCCTAAGACGCTTGGTTTGAAGGGAAATTGTTAGTAACGAGGTAACATTACAGGGAAAGGTTGCGTTTTTCTGGAAGTGTTGATGAATAGACCAAGGAGTTATTTCTCTGCCTCTCTCTCTCTCATCGTCCCTCTCTCTCCTCCCTCTATCTCTCTCTCTCTCACACACACACACATTCATTTAATAGAAAACAAAATAATTTCATATCTTTACAGCATTTATTTTTGAAGAACCCTAAATCATAAGGTCAAAGGCATTATGTAAAAAAAAACCATTAACAAGGCATCACTATGTATATAACATCTTATTATATATGTATAAAGTGTATATAATGAACACGGATGTGGCCATAAGGTTTGAGCAAGACACAAACAAGAAGAATATGGATCATAAGAATATTGATCATAAGAATATTGATCATAAGAATATTGATCATAAGAATATTGATCATTGACTAGTTTTGGACACGTTCAAACATAAATATACAATAAACAAAAGCTTATGAGCTGCACCTAACGCCATTCCATACATTGCCTCAACATAAGGACGATAAAAGAGACTTCGATCATTGAAATCTCAGATTAATAATTTTAAATGCAGTCAATGTATAACTATAAATCAATCATAACAGAATTTCACATTAGTGTAATATTGCTGTGTGGTTCTTAGAATTCTATTATGTCTTCAACTAATTATTAGATGGATTCTTTTCACTAAAATGTCCATGAAAGATGTGTGTTACTTGGATAAGCCTGGATGATTGGATATCAGTAATTAAAGATCAATATTAATACTTTGATGGTCGTAGAGGTGCTTGTTTCGGGGCAAAGAGTCTGCCTATTTACACATCTTTCGTGGCAGTAAGGAATTAAATGTTTCTTTTTTTGGCGCTGGATGGGAGACACAAATATTCGATGGAATACAATGGATTTGTTATAAGCAACACTGGCTTGCAGACGATGAATTGATACATAATGTTAGTGCTGGGGGATTTAAGGCGAGACAATGTTATTACTGTTAAACGATGGATTGAGACTAAAAAAAATAACTTTGTAAAACTATGGATTGGATGTGAGAAAACGTTTTTGCTAAACGCTGGCTAGAAGAGGAAGAAAAAAGGTTAGACAGTGAACTAGAAGTGATCAAAATTGAACTCATTCGAAACAGTAGCAAAGACTAATACTTTACATGAACACATAATTTGGAATGTTGAAATTAAATTTAAATCTTATCTCTTTAATAAAAAAAAAAAGATTGAATGAATCGCATCATTAAAACCAGGGAATGTGTAGAAAGTATATAGAAATCAATACAAATACTAAAAAGGCAGATTATACATTAGGCGAAAAGTTTGGAGTACCTTAAGACTGATTTGTATTTCAAAGAATTAGATGATTTGGTATTTTTGTGCATTTAAATATTAGCTACAGTGAACACACTTTTTATATGAATAAAATTGATTGATGTTGCTCTGGTTACCTCACTTCAGATACCAGAAAAATGTTCTAGATTTTGTTTAAGAGATAGAGAAGGCAATAACAAATTGAATAGCACAAGAATACAGATAAATGTCGTTACAATAGCAGATGTTAAAATCACCCCAACCTCTACAAATCAAGGCATCTATAGGCAATGAAGATGTTACAAAACGTGGAAGAAATAGGATTCAACAAATGTAAGGCAGTTTATCAAAACATTGTATAGGTCAGTGAAGCATGGCTATACACAAGGCACCATATTATTATTGCTTGGAGTCCAACATTGCTTTTAATGTTTGTATCACGTGACAGAAATGTCAATGAAAATGTCTAGAAAAAAATCTAACATTATTTATCATTGTTAGTGGAAGATTCTCGGACCAAAATAATCTATAAGAACCTTGAGCAGCCAAGACTTAGCCTAGTATAGTTGTGGCTCTACAAGCTGTACTATTCTTTCATTGCAACAGTGTCTCGCATGGTATTGCTAAGCACAAGAGTTTCGAATTGATGAATAGGGATCAGGTGTTAACCAGAGTCGAGGTCCTTCAGGCTTGCAGCGTCATAGTGAAAGCTGATGAAATGCTAGTGACTGCTGCTGTGGTTGCTGAGTTCGTCGTTGGTGCAGTCGCTGTCTGCGTTCAGGTGGTTCTCGTCATTCATGTCGCCGTCCTTGTACAGAGAGCTGGACACGCTCAGTGGGGAGAGGTCCGCCCCGTGTGGCCGGAGCTTAACGCACTTGGGATCCCTGCCCACGCTGACTTCTTTCATGAAGGAAATGTAGGTCATAGCCAAGCGCAGGGTCTCGATACGCGAAAGACGCTTTTCGTAGTTGAACGCTGGAAGCCTCTTTCTGAGTTCATCGAAGGCTTCGTTGAGGTGGAACATCCTTTTTCTTTCCCTTACGTTGGCTGCCTTGCGTTGTGTGTGTGACTGGACCCGTTTTCTTTTGGGTTTGCCGCTGACCGAGTTTGTAATGTTGGGTTGTTGTAGACTAGCATGGGGGCCAAGGTCGATGCCGGAAAAGAATCGAGTGTGCTGTTCGGGGCTCAGAGGATCTGACTGGCTCGAAGGCGTCCACAGGACGTGGCCCGCAGAGTAAAAGTCTGAGTGTGTTACAGCTTGATGGGGATAGTCGTGATACTCCTGGGCGGCTATGTCCAGCCCTTCGCTATAAGACGTGTAGTAGTGTCTTTCTGGGCTGATGATGGGGTGATGAGGATGATGCTGCCAGTCGTAGTCTGAGGTAGCGTAGTAGGCAGGCTGTTCAGCGTATCCCGCCGTGTTGGTGTACGGAGACAGGTTCTCTGTGGCACAAGTTAGATTAGCGAAATGTTCTGAGGATAGGTTCCTCTCCTCCAGAGACATTGTAAGTCAATGGTAGATAGACTGCAGCAAGCAATCTAGGTCTGTGTAGTCCAGAAAAGTATTGATAGTGTTATCTTGCGGAGTTTATTTTAAGTAAGTTTCCTATTTACTAGTGTTCCTTCATGCTTAGCGTGTACAAAACCTGAAACAAAGTAAGACAATACATTAATCAAAAAGTCTGTCTATGAATCGAACTGTGTTTTAACCTCTTACTTCATGTCTGTCTGCCTACCTGCCTTGTCTGCCTGCCTGTAACCTACCTGTCTGCCTGTGTGACTACCTATCTTTCTTTCTATCTTTCGTTATGTCTGTCTGTCTGTTTGACTGTCTATCTATCTATCTATCTATCTATCTATCTACCTATCTATCTAATCTAGCTATCTAAAGTTATATATATATTTATATATACACGAAGTTCAGTTCTAATTGCAATTTTGAAAAGCCCATCGAACGAAGATTACTCTACTGATACGCTGCACGTGTGGAGACATTGTATTGATTATTTATTAAGTGTCTTCATCTACTGCGTATAAAGCATATCTAACAACGTTGTTAAGAGCCTGGATACTTCAAGCAGAGAGCTCAGTAAATAAAGGCTGGGGGGGGGGGGGGGGGGATGTCAGAACACTAGGAAGTGGTAGGTAATAGAAAACACATTTAGAAATACTCCCCAACCCGCACTTTACTTCCCGAGGAACGAAGAGTTTACAGTTATTTTGATCCAGATAAAGATCTATAATTATAAAAATTATCGGACTATATACAGCTAGAAGAAAGGGCAATAAGAATGAAAAACACAATAATCACATGATTAGTTTTCTTTGGTGATCTCCCCCTATTTTTTTTTACTCGTGCAAGACATTTGAATCTGTACTTGGCAAGAGTTATCTCTGCCCTAAAGGAGTTTAAATAAATATTTAAAATACATTAAATACATCTACTTACCGCCAGTGTGTCAGGTATTCGGTGACAGCAAATTAGAGAAATAAAGTCCCTGCCTAATTTCGATATGTAATGCAACTGGCAGACAGAGTAATTTATTTTTTGAAATGTCCAATATCGTGTTTACAATAGGTTTCAGCGTTTGCCTAACGTGATATATGTTGCTAAGTGCCTGTCTTCGTAGACAAGTCAATCTTGATGTCTATAATGAACACAAGCGGGTGCAGATAAGTGATCGATGTAATGTAAGTGTTCTGTGTCACAAGCCAACAATTTTTGGCCCGTTGAAGGTTCTAGAGAATATCTAATTGACGAAAGATTCCATAACGTTCCTTGAGTTAACGGGGCGACAACCAACCCTCCGGCAGGTAAGCTAGTGAACCCGGCCTTAGGCAGGTAAATAACATCGGGCCTCGTGCCCCCAAACACTTTTATACCCGGCGACATCATTCAGGTAAAGAGGAGGGTGGTGGCCAAGCAAATTTATAGTGGGTCTCTTTTTTTATCCTGTTATTAGTGCTAAGAATCAATGGGACATGCAACAGGCACGCGTCTCCTTATTGGTCGCGAGCCGCTAGGATCAAACGGCACGGAGTGACGCTGCCCACGTGGGTGGGCGGGGCTTATGACACTTGGTCTCACGTCACGGTGAGAACTGGTGGTCCCTGGGACCAAGCGCGCGCGCCTCTTTCCCGCTTCGTTGACATATAAAACGATCTCTCCCTGGTGTCGGCGTGACCCAAACAGAGTGACAACTTAGATCCGTGTTTTTCCTCTTGCAAAAATCCACCACTTTTTATGTTTAGCGTGTTAGTTTGGAGGACATAACGCAATGACCTGATCTAAACACGTCTTGGCGCAGACGGAAACGTAGACATTGGTAAAAAAAAAATGGTATTGATCTGTTTATTATTACCGGAGGTCCTGTGTCTGAAACTAATTGCAAGTTATAGTCATCTCTCTGTCACTCTTCAGACGTCTGTCTTTTCGTTAACTTTCTCTAGCTCTGTGCGAACTTGGGACAGTTGAAGCCCTTGTGCAAATTGTAACTACAGGCCCCATTATGGTATCCATATATTGTTGTACTCAGTGCCATATAAAGGCCCTAAGCTATTTGAGATAGTGGACCCCTTATAAAGTCCACATTTTATATGTCAGTGGTAACTATTTCTAGAGGGGAGGAGGGTTGCTAAGCTACAGCTTGTGTTGCAGGCCCTGGTTGTACTTCATTTCATATGTCAGTGGTAACTATTTCTTGGGGGGAGGAGGGGTTGCTAAGATACAGCTTGTGTTGCAGGCCCTGGTTGTACTTCATTTTATATGTCAGTGGTAACTATTTCTAGGGGGGAGGAGGGTTGCTAAGCTACAGCTTGTGTTGCAGGCCCTGGTTGTACTTCATTTCGTATGTCAGTGGTAACTATTTCTTGGGGGGGAGGAGGGTTGCTAAGATACAGTTTGTGTTGTAGGCTCTGGTTGTACTTCATTTTATATGTCAGTGGCAACTATTTATGGGGGGGGGGGGGAGGGTTGCTAAGCTACAGCTTGTGTTGCAGGCCCTGGTTGTACTTCATTTCGTATGTCAGTGGTAACTATTTTTGGGGGTGGGGGGAGGAGGGTTGCTAAGATACAGCTTGTGTTGCAGGCCCTGGTTGTACTTCATGTTGTGGCACCTTTCAGTATTGAAAGTATTGAAAATTAAAAGCGCCTTAGATGGCCAACAACACAATACATCTGTAGCTCAATGGCCAACAACACAATACATCTGTAGCTCAATGGCCAACAACACAATACATCTGTAGCTCAATGGCCAACAACACAATACATCTGTAGCTCAATGGCCAACAACACAATACATCTGTAGCTCAATGATCAACAACACAATACATCTGTAGCTCAATGGCCAACAACACAATACATCTGTAGCTCAATGGCCAACAACACAATACATTTGTAGCTCAATGGCCAACAACACAATCCATCTGTAGCTCAATGGCCAACAACACAATACATCTGTAGCTCAATGGCCAACAACACAATACATCTGTAGCTCAATGG